AAAAGCAAAGATGTCACCTTGAAGACTAAGGTGGGCCTGACCCAAGTCAAGGTGTTTTCAATCACCTCAGATGCATGGGAAAGCTGGACAAAGAATAAGGAAGACCGAAGAAGAGCTGATGCCTTTGAACTGTGGTGTTGATGAAGAATATTAAATGTAACATGGGCTGCCAAAAGAACAAACAAATCTGTCTTGGAAGAAGTACAACCAGAATGCGCCTTATGAAGCAAGGATGGCGAGACTTCATCTCACATACTTTGGACGTGTTCTCAGGAGGAATCAGTCTCTGGAGAAGGACATCATGCTTGGTAAAGTGGAGGGTCAGTAAAGAAGAGGAAGACCCTCAACAAGATGGACTCAGCCAGTGGCTGCAACAATGGGCTCAAGCATAACGATTGGGAGGATGGTGCAGGACCAGTCAGTGTTTCATTCTGTTGTACACAGGGTCGCTATGAGTCAGGACCAACTTGATGGCACCTAACAACAACAACATAATCAAAAAATGCAAATTAAATACATAATTAATTGACATTTTACACTTAACAGATTGATGAAAATTAAAATGACTGAATAACTGGTTGAATTTTCTTACGAAACTCTGGACGACTCAGAAAAAATGCCACCTTGTACATTCTCTCTTCTTTTCCTGACTCCTGTCCTTTTCTCACTTACGTCTCCTGCCTTAGGATTGTCTACCCCCCACTCCCTACCCTCAACAAAGTCTTTACCAGATTAGTTTTGCCTCAGGCTCTGTTTTCTACGAAATCTAGGCTAGGACATTGTCTGCCACTTTTGATAGGTAATGGCACATGACTGAATTCCCCTTCCTTTTTTGGTTTCTAATGACAAATTTTTGGCTTGTGATTTTACAATTTTTTTGTATTTCCTTAATTACTGGTGTGATGGTTAAGATTGTGTGTCAACTAGCCTGGGCCATGATTCTCAGTGTTTATATGTGATCACCTCCATGATGGGATCTGCTGTGAGTAGTTAATCAGTTGAAAGGGAGTTTCCTTGCATGTGTGGCCTGCATTGGAATATAAGCAGACGTTCTGGCTTTTGCCTGCTCTGGATCCTGCAGCTGGCTCCTTCTCTCCGACCTGCCAATCTTGGGTTCACCAGCCCCTGCAGCTACATGAATCAAGAGAAGCCTTGCTGTCTTGCCTGCTGATCTTAGAATTCATCGATCTTCACAGCCTGTGAGCAAGAGCTCTGCTTTCCAACCTGCCAGTCTTGGATTTGCCAGCCCCTACAACTATGTTAATCGGGAGAAGCCTCTATCCTGATCCACGGACTGGGGACATTCCAGCCTCTACAATCTCATGACCTGTTTCCTTGATATAAATCTCTCTATATATATATGTTTATATGCTTTACTGGTTTTGCTTCTCTAGAGAACCCAGCCTAAGACACTGGGGAAGGAAAATTCTGGGTATGACTTTATTTTGCCATCATCATTTGTATTTGACTTTGTGTTTACATGTCCTTCACCTTCACTAGGCTGTCCTTGAGGACAGGCTGTTATTTAGATTTATATGCCCAGCCTCTTGGACAAACAGGCAGACGGTGGGTGTCTAGCATCTCATACTATGCATGAAAGATAGCAGGTGATCAATAAGTTTTGTTGAATCCTCCATCATGTATATAAAGGATTCTCCAACAGAGCACAATAACTAGGAAATTGTCTTCCATTTCTACAAATAGTTAAATAAGAGAAAAAAGGCTTAAAGCACAAAAAATTTAGATTAAATATAAAGAGAAATTATTGGACCAAATATTGATTTTCTTCATGAAGATCTTTAAAAACAGAAAAGGCTTTGCAGCTGTGTAGGACAATTTAAGAATTGTCATAGCTGGGTAGGGGAAATACCAGATATCACTAATATTCCCTATCTGCTGTAAGACTATTAAACATTGCATACATACACATAGAAGGGAATAAATATTTCACCTACTAATGGCAGAAACTTGGACTTTCTGGAAAGAGAGATTAGGACAAGAAGGGACTTCTTTCTCCCAATTAACTCAGAGTTGGAACAAAGAAGATAGAATCAAAGTTGAATTTTTATAGAAAAAGAACTGGAATTAACCCTTCTTTTCTGAAAGGTATTCACAGGCAGTATTAGCCCACCCTCTTCTGTTCTGCCATCCCTTTAAGAGGGAAAAGACATATAAATACTAAAGAATAGTGCCTTGTACTTTGTAGGGTGTGTGTGTGTGTGTGTGTTTGTGTGTGACTCAGAGGTTAAGAGCTGGGCTGCTAATCAAAAGGTAAGCAGTTCGAACCGACCAGTCATTCCTTGGAAGCTCTATGGGGCAGTTCTAATCTGTCCTATAGGGTTGCTATGAGTTGGAATCAACTTGACGGCAAAGGAATCAAGGTGATATATATATACATATATATATATATGTGTGTTTGTATCGTCATATCAACTGACTGACAAAAACTACTCATCTCTGAAGTATATTTGAGTTAGATAGCTGAAGCAAGATTAATAAAAAAATTTACTACATGAAAGTCTAAAATTTAAAAGGTAGTGAATAATTCAGAAAGATTATTAAGAGATACGCTCTCAAAGGATAGACTTTTTGAAGCACTTGTGAGTTTCCTTCTTTACTTTTTTTTTTGCTAATGTAGCAACTTTTATCATTTTCCTTAAGTTTGGAGAAAAGTTTACCTTTGATTTAAAATTATTTTTCCCCATTCCTTGGGCTATAAGCCCATTGCCGTTGAGTCGATTTCGACTCAGCAACCCTATAGGACAGCGCAGAACTGCCCCCTAGGGTTTCCAAGGAGCAGCTGGTGGACTCAAAGGGCCAAACTTTTGGTTAGCAGACAAGCTCTTAACCACTACGCCACCAGGGCTCTACCTTGGGCTA